GAAGGACCCCAGTTCTCCAGCACCCTGTTTGGGGATTGAGAGAGAAGCTGAAAGAACGTTCTGAGAGCAATACAGCCCCTATGTCATCTGTCGAGGTCACTTGTGCCTGCTAACGTAGTGATAGTTCCCCAATCTTACGGCCATATTTCAGAGGGAAACAAGTTCAATGCTATTGTGCATTTGGTTTGTCTTGCTTTCCCCCCTTATTTGCATTCACATGTCATAGTGAAAGACATTCTAGGTACAACCATTTCCTTGTCTCAGGGATCTCCCATGGTGCAGAGCCCTGTCTACCTTTCAAAAATGGCTGCAGGGGCAAGGCTGTCGGACCTCACCTCCCAGCCCATGACAGCACACAGTCAGAAGGGGAGACTTATGTAGTCCAAGCTGGCCTGTAAGTTTGTTCTCCCCAACTACCATTTTCTTAGTTCAGCTGGGTCATTTTTTTTCCCTAGGCTCCCCCACCGCAACCCCGCACCTCAAAGCTACTTTTTACCTCAAAATCTGTTGTTCTCCCTCTATTGTCAGGCCCATCTGTTCTGTCGCCCCAAGTGGAAGGGTTGAACCGAGGGACCCTGACTGTATTCAGACAGGTGGAAGCGTTTGCATCCCCTGCTGAGATGAACTGCACTGGGACACTTCAGAGCCATTAAAACAATCGACGTGGAATCAAGAAAGTCTCACCCAGTGTCTTTGAAGGAGACTGGCGCCTCTGCCACGAGCCCTGTGTTTCGTCGCACCGCCTTCTTCTCATTAGGCAGGCAGCCCCTTGAATCAGCAGCAGGGGTAGAGGAACGGAGATACCACAAATGCTTTCATTTTTAGGGTGGTTTTTTTTTTTCTCTCTCTCATTTAAAGGCTGGGGAGGGAAGCGAGAGGGGAATGAAATGTCAACCTTGTGGCGATGCTTCTCAGTGGGTTAGGCAGCCCAGGCAGGCCCGGTGGCCGTGCAGACCTGGTGGAGAGCAGCTGGCAGTGTGCCCACCCTCCCTCTTCTTCTGGGGTTGGGCAGAAATCGGAGTTGGGGGAGGTGAGCCGTGAGCCTGCCGTTGGCATGAGAGCACATGTCACGCTGACATCGAAGGCGAGGAGAAAACAACCTGGGACTCGGTCCGCTCTGCCGCTGTTGGTGCCCAGTTTTCAAGGTTGGCTCTTGTCGCTTGTATAGACAGGGTGAGAGGGGCAGGCGTCATGAACCCGAGCCAGCCAGTTAAGGGGAAACTGCATCTATGGCGTCCTGTGTTCCCACAGGGCACTTCGGTCCACAAAACGGGGCATGTTTTTGTGGGTGACGTTGGACATGTTAGACAACGACAGGCATAGAACAGAGCTCAGGAAAAGACCCGAGGCTGCCTATGGAGTGCATGGTCTCACTCCTCGGATGAGGCAGTGTGTGCACCCATAAGCCAAAAAAACTATTTAAAGAGAAGAATCCAGTGTGTAATGTGTCCACCAAAGTATCAAGTGGAGAAGAAATAAGCGTGGTGAGGAAAGCGGAAGCTTCTCAAAGGTGCAGGGTCGGGGGCCCAGGCCATGCCGGGCACTGTGCCTTGGCCTACGGCCCTTCTTCCTAACACCACATCCACTGGGCAGGCACCAGTCTCCGCAGGTGACTGTGAGGAAACTAAGGCTCAGGGAGAGCATGTGGCTTGTCCAGGGACACACAGCTGGGAGTGGTGGTGAAGACCACCAGTGAGGTCTGTCTGACTCGGCCTTGACTGATTGGGCCCAGGAAAGGGGTGGGGTTTGAGCAGACGGGAAGAAGACGGAATGGCTGAGGACCCAGCCGAGGATTAATGATAGTGCGGAGCTGGCAGAGGGGGGTCTGCACCAGGGAAGAGGGGCTGAGATGCAGAGGGGAGGCAGTGTATGCAGAGCAATGGCCGTGCTAGTTTTCCTGTGGTGGCGGCCGTGGGCACGGCAACCGGAGAGGGGGACCGGGCATCAAGGCTGGGGAACAAGTCAGAAGTGTTGTACAGGAGTCAAAGTGGCACCTGTGCCGTGGGAAAGGGGTGCCTCAGGGAGACACTGTGCAAGAAGGGTCAGCAGGCTCAGCGACAGGAAGGAAGAATCACAGATCTGGCTGGGGCATGACGGTGACAAAGAAATGGGAAAATTCCGGGAAGGGTTAGCTAGGCATGGAAGTCAACTGGTTTGGATTGTATGTTCAGGGTTCAAAGGAACAGCTACACCTGGCTGGGTGCCACATCTTGTGAACACCGAAAAGTGTCTCAGTGGAGTCCAGCCATAGGCAGCTGGAGGTATGGCTCTGGGGTCATCACAGAGGAGGGGAGGTGAGGGTGAGAATCTAGGAGCCCCCCAAGGAAGCAAGTAACAAACATTCAGGTTCCCATGGCCTGTGCTCAGAAGATTCCAAGTCACAGCATAAACTTTTACCAAATGAAATTGCTACCTCCAAAAAGATTATCTGAAGGAAACCTAGCCAGGACCACCTAGGTGGCTCAGTCAGTTAAGTGTCCGACTTCGGCTCATGTCATGATCTCATGGCTTGTGAGTTTGAGCCCCACATCAGGCTCTGTGCTGATGGCTCAGAGCCTGGAGCCTGTTGTGGATTCTGTGTGTGTG